CGAACCCGCGTCCCCTGCATCGGCAGGCGGACTCTCAACCACTGCGCCACCAGGGAAGCCCCATCAAAATTAGTTTTTAAGCTTTAGAAATGAGGCCCTTACTTCTGACTTTAACTTACTGTACACCCTCCATCACACTCTTGCTAGTCGATAACTTCTTTATGAATCACTCTGAAATTCCTTATCACTCCAGATGTGCATCCCAAACTCCCCCACTACCCCACCCACTCGGGGATTGTGTTCCTTCTCTTCAGAAGACACCAGTGGTAGAAATGACTTATTCTAGAGACGTCCCAGCAGGATTCAGAACTCAACATGTCAACGCAACAAACCATCCACCAATCCACCCATCCATCCATCCGTCATCCATCCATTCATCCATCTACCCATCTTCCCACCCACCCACCCATCCATCCACATCCACATATCTACCCATCCATATACATATCCACCACTCGTCCTCTAATCTACCCAACCTACCCATCTACCCATCCACTCTTTCAAATATCCATCCATCATCCATCCATCCTTCCACTTGCCCACCTACCCACCCATCCTCCCATTTGGATGAGTACTGAATACCAAGACACTGAATTTATAGAGATAAAAGAAAGACATAGTTCTTGCCCACAAGTTAGGTGAAACAGTGGAGGAAAGACATGCTAAGCAGTGGGAACCACCCATGCAAAGGAGCTCTGTGCACCAGTTGGGCACAGTGGCGATGTGGTGATGAGAGATGAACCCATCAAGAAGGGATTAGTTGACCAGGAAGACTTGGTACGAGGTAGATTTCACACCAAGATGACAGGGAATGACGTAACCAGCGAATCAGTCTGCTCTCGCTTCTAGAAAAGGTATATCTTACGACCTTAAAAAATCCCATGCTCTCCTCGACAAGAGCAGAGGGTACCTAAGAACTATGCAGACAAATAATACTGCACTGAAAGCATAATCCACTTACGAAGATAAGGTCAAGATTTTAAAAAATTTAAAAAAATTTTAAGCTAAGCGTCTTGTTTATGTCCCTCACGGGTCTCACTCAGGCCCTTGTACATAGTAAATACTCGAGAAAAAATGGCTGGTCTTGCCTTCAAAAACCCAGGTGGTTGTTAGCTGGCCCTGGAGCTTCATTCATTAAGATCAGAGAAACAGAGGACCCGCTGGAACACCGCATAATAAGACTGTCTCCTTAGAAGTCAGAAGGAAGACCTCAGCCCAGGTGTGTCAGAGAGCTTAACCTGACTTCACCTGTCTGGTCACAGCCCCGCACCTGCCTCGGTGGCTAACTCCCTCTGTGCCTCTCTACCTGCCCCTTCAGGCACAGGACGCCTCTCTTTCCTATTGGCATTTTACCCCCATAAAGTGAACTTAAGTGAACACGCGTTAGAAACCTTCCCTTTCATTTTAGAATGAAGAACCATGGGCCCCGTCTGGAAGAATTTTAGCCTCACACAGCATAAGGCGGAAGTATATTTTTGAAAAGGGAGGATATTTGACCCACTTAAAATGGACTATGTAAATAGTCCATGTCTCTACCTGTGATGTGACAATTTCACCATCACCTGCCCACCACCTCCAGCTTTAAAACACAGCCTGCAGCCCGTCCTAGCAAAAGTGAGACCCTCACCACCCCCATCCTACACGGCCCCCTGCCGACACACATCTGAACCGGAATTAAACCTAAGCTTGAACAGAGTCTTCACTAAGGCTTCCCCTTCAAGTTTGGGCGATCAGGGTTACCACTTTTATTTAAAAATACATATATTAAAAGCTGTCCACGGAAGTTTATTCTAAGAACTATGGAAAATTCACTTTTGAATGTTATAAAAAAAAAAAGTAAAATGTAAACTAGTAAAATAGAATTTTAATACAAATATTCATCAGACCATCTCGAGCACACTGTATTACCATTTACTCAGCCCCCCCAAAATGTGCACATATTCCTGGACCCCCCAAGTTATATGCTGGGTCCACTGTGCTTCTAGAATACAGAGGATGTTTCAAGGAATGATGAATCCCTCAAATTGTGTTATGGGATGACTAAGCAGCAATTGATTAATAAAAATAAACAGTGTCCGTGTAATTCGAATGCTTAAAATTACCCCTGACCTCAAATCATTTCCTCATTTCTCTACGTGAAACCAGGCTTCCAACTGTGGGGTGACATGGGGCCACAGCCCTTCCCCGTCCTTCCTTCTACCAATTCTCAAAGTTTATACTTAAGGAAATCTTCCCAGACCAGTAAAGGGCTCTATGGACTTCAGGGGATGTATTTAATCAGCTAGTTGCTCAGTTGTATGTCGCCCACTTCTCACTTTTGATCTGTGGCAATCTGGCCCCTACCTGACAGCCAACTGATCCCCAAACCCCTGGTGAGGCACACATTGAACTTTCATCAGCACCTGGTTCTATTTCCCTATAAAAGCTGAAAAACAAAAGCATTATGATAACCCCACAAACAACTTTTCGAGGACAGAATGAACCGAACTGCTGTAATCCTCCCGTTTCAGTCTCAGCATATTACCCTTGACAAGAAAGCAGAAATCCTTGGTGCTCGTCATAAACTTAATCCTGGGATGCTGAGACAGATTATACCAGGGCCCCAGCCATCCAGAGCATTCATTAAGCCTCTGGCGGGAGGTGAACCGGAAGCTGATGACACCTGCCCAGGTGACCCGGGAACAGGCCTCCGGCACCAATAAGCAGAGCTTAAGCCTGGGGCAAATTCCAGTGTTTGATCTCTTTCCTTGCAAATGTGAAATAAATCTGTCACCCAACTGCTACCCTTCTCAGGGCGGGAGAGTTCTGCACTCAGGGGGCGAGACGTGGGCTCCACTGACAGTTCAATTAATTAGACATCCAAGGGGAACAAAGGTCTCGGTGCCAACCTCCAGTCCCAATCCTGGCACTCTGATTACCCTGGGGCCTAAGCCGCGACTCTCCCAGCACAGAGCCGGGAAGCTGTGCGGAGGGCACAGGAGGAAATGGAGGTACCTGTGGGTCCAGCCAGGAGGCATCCCTTTCCGAGGCCGGGGTCCTGCCTGCCCCGGTCGCAGCTCGGGTCCCGGCCCGGCCGCCCCCGGCCCGCCGCTGCTCCTGCAGCATCACCCCGCGGGGCGGGGCCGTGACGTCACGGCTGCATCCTAGCCAGGCTTCATCCTCGCCGCCTACCGCCGGTATCCGCAGAGCATCCTTAAAGCGGCACCGCCCTGCAGTCCGCCGCGGAGGCGCTGGATCCCTCGCAGGGCCCCCAGCCCTAGCCAGCCGCTCATCCTCCCGAAGTTTAAAGGCCGGCACAGTCTGCAAGGAAAGCTCCAG